TTTGACTAATAACGCATTTTAGGTACTGAAACTCAATTTAGGGGAATTTTAGACAGTGAGTTGAGTGGGGTGAGCGCAGCAGCAAGCACAGTGACCTTTTCTGTCTGGCTCTCCCTTTCTGCACGCATGGTGCAGCTTCTCCTGCATCTCTGTCCCCTGACTGGAGCAATGGGGATGAGAGGGGTTTGAGGAGTGTAGATTAAATTTCATTATCCTCACTGGACGATTGAGGACATAGCCTGAGAGGGATTAAATCATATAAAAAAATCGTCTTGCTGGTTGAGGTCAGAGCAAAGTCTCCTTTTTCCCAGGGTTCTTTCTAGAAGACATATTCAGATAGTGATGTCATGTTCCCGCTCTTGCTAAGGAAGTGTAAAAGGATTGCTCTGCTCCTTTTGACTTGAGGTCAACAGCAACAGAATAGCTAGATGGAGCAAATATTTCTTCCCCGCGCAAGGCAGAATTGCCAGGTAGAACTTAAACCCAATTTATGGCTCAGGGAGAAAGTGTCACAAGAGAAAGCTGCACAAAGAAGTGAAACACTGTAATGTTTAGATGTTTGTAAGGACAAAAGAGCAGGAGAATCCATATAAATCCCCAGAAGTGAAGGGAACAGCCTTAGTTCATTTTGAAGAACCATGAGGTCACTTTTTTCTTTTTTCTGTGAGCAATTATTAAGAAGGATTAAATTAGTGAAATTGAATGCTAGACCCACACCAGACAAAATTCAACTGTGCTCATTTGCTTAATTTTTACATTCCCCTGAGGCAAACTCACTGATATCCCAAATAGTAACAAAAAAAAGGCAAACTATACAAAGCATAAATCCAGTGTTCACCCCAGCAAACTACGGGAAAACCACCCAATGAGAAATGATTTTACAGGATCTTTTATTCTCCTATTAAGAGGACAAAATGTCAATACACAAAGCTTAGAAAACAGAGGGAAAGAAAACCATAGTAATCATTATGGCTTATGTATTTCAGACAGATGCACACAGAACACATACACATACCCCCTACTTATCCATCTTGGTATTCCCATGTTTCTGTAGAAATGCAGTTCATGGGGTAGAGAGGGAATATCTGGGCCTATACCAATTTACTAATAAGATGACACAATAATATATTCCATGCTTTTTTATGACCTGTTGTTTCACTTAAGTTTCAGAGAATTTCTTTCCAATTCACTAAATAACTTAATATTCTTCTATAATGTTATTTTTGTGGCTAGGAGTCAACAAGGGACTTGTAATCAGCTTATGGAGCTTATTTTTGTTTTCAAAAATTTACTGCTTATAGCTTTCATTTACTTTTTTGTCCTCTGATTCCAATTTCTACATTCATTTTTATATTTATTTAGCATAAGGCTTTTAAAAGAAATTATTTCAACATGTGGTTGAGCTACTTCCTAGGTAGGTTATCAGAAGAAAAATGTGGAGGGACGAAGTTTTCAGATCATTCCCATTTCAAAGCACTTTCCTGTCTGAGTATTGGTCCCACCCCTCGTAGGAGGTGAAGTATTAGCACATTATCAGATGAGAGAAGAAATACACATTAAGCAATGAAGGCTCACTCAGCTATAAGATGAACACCGAATTCAAATGTTTCTGAACATTTCTCACCTGAACTTCTCATCTTCAGGTCTGACCTTGTGACGCTACCTCTGGTTAGTGCTTCTTCTGGCCTCATTTTCTTTCCATTTTCCCTTTTGATTATGAGGTAGGCAAAACAATATACCAATGAGTTTTGTTAATGAAAGCAAGGAAGAAGCTTGTTTTCCAGTGGTTTGTGAACTAATTGCCTGAGACAGGGCTTTCCAATTTCCCTTTTTCTTGTTATTTATTTATTTATTTTATCTCAGTCGCTAACAGTGTCTATTAATATTACAAATCCAGTTCTCTTCTTACTTCTCTCATGACATCCATGGAATTTCATGTGATTTCTGCGTCAATACACTTTGTTATAGGAAACTTAAAGCCTATGTGAAATTAGGAAGCTAGCGCACTGTTTACCTGTCTCCCGCTTAACGGCTTCCAGCTGCTGCCCAGTGTTACTGTCCATTCCGTCACCCATGGTCTGCCTCTCTCCACGGGTGGTTGGGAGGCAAGTCCCCGACCTTATATTACTTCACTTGTCAGTATTTCAGAGGGCAAGGATCCTTAGGCATTACACATTTTAATTACTTTTAATGAATTTTTCATTAAATTATGACCTACAGACAGAAAAATATACAAACCCTAAGTAACTCAGACTAATTTTCAGGACTTGAACACACAAGTGTAACTAGCAAGAAACAGGACAGTACCTGTGCCCGTGGAGCCTCTCTCTTGTCCATGTGTGCGCACCTCACCTGGGGTGGGGCGCGGCGGCTCCTGTCCTCACCGCACAGGTAGCTTTGTCTAGTTTGGAGCGCGACACGTATGAAATCACGCAGTGTGCTTTCACTTAACATTGTGTTTCAGAGATTTCTCCATACTGTCAAGCTTAATGCTACATAGGACTCAATCGTGGGACTATCTCACAATTTAACCATTCAGTTACAGACAGAATTTAGAGGGCTGTTGGTCTTAGGCTATTGTGAATAGTCTGAAGCTAGTAAGTAATGAAGTCTAAATTCAGACCAGCTTTGCTTGATTCCAGAAGCAGAAATCTTTTTTTTAAAATTAATTTTATTGGTACACTTTAGGTATACAATTCGTTTACATTTATCATTGGGTGTTTGTACCTGTACATGATATATCTTGGTTCTTATTTTTTTCCCCATTACCTGTGCGCCCTTCACCCCCTCCACCCTTCCCTATTTACATAGATTTCATTTCCATTTTTTTTTCTTTTCTCATAGTTTTTCCTTTCCCTCTTTTCCTTTTCCCTTCCCTTCCCTTCACTCCTTCGTCTTTGGACATATTTTCCTATTTCAAATTATCAATTATTAATTTTAATCATTTTAACTCTTGTTTACACTATCAGTTTCTCACAATAGTGAAACTATTCGGTATTTACACATCTGTGTCCTATTTATTTCACTTAAGAGTATGGCCTTGATATGCATCCATTTAGCTATAAATGACTCTAGTTTGTTGTTCTTTATGGCTGAGTAGTACTCCATTTTATTAAAAAACCACATTTTCTTTATCCAGTTTCCAGTTGATGGGCACTTGGGCTGCTTCCAAGCTTTAGCTATTACAAACTGTGCCGCTATGAACATGGGTGCACATATATCACTGTGGTATGCTTCTTTTAATTCTTTTGGGAAGATACCCAGCAGGGGAATAGCTGGGTCAAATGGGACCTCTAGTCCTAGTTCTTTGAGGTATCTCCATACTGACTTCCACAGTGGTTGCACCAGTCTGCGCTCCCACCAGCAATGGAGAAGGGTTCCTTTCTCCCCACACCCCCGCCAGCATTTGTTATTGGTTGATTTCTTGATAGCAGCCATTCTTTCTGGGGTGAGGTGGAATCTCAGTGTTGTTTTCATCTGCATCTCTTGAATGATCAGTGATGTTGAACATTTTTTCATATATTCGTTTGCTGCTTTTACTTCTTTGTCTGAGAAATGTCTGTTCATTTCAGATGCCCATTTTTGAATTGGGTCTTTGAATTTGGGGGGTCTTGATTTTTCTTTCAATTCTTTATATATTCTAGATAGTAGTCCTTGGTCTGAGGTACAGCTGCTAAAAATTTTTTCCCATGTTGTAGGTTGTCTGTTAGCTCTGTTGGTGGTTTCTCTTGCAGTGCAGAAGCTTTTTAATAAGATGAGATCCCAGTTGTTGATTCTTTCTGCTAGTTCCTGTGCTGCTGAGTTTTTGTTCATGAAGTCTTTTCCTATGCCAATGTCTTCAAGAGTTCTACCTAACTTATCTTCCAGTAAGTTTAGTGTTTCTGTCTTAATATTTATATCTTTAATCCACTTTGATCTTAGTTTAGTGCATGGTGATAGGTATGGGTCTAGTTTCAATCTTTGGCAGGTTGAAATCCAGTTTTTCCAACACCATTTATTAAATAGGCTATCTTTCCTCCAATGCAGAAGCAGAAATCTTAATGACGACACTTTCATAAAAACCGATTTTTCCGAATTAACTATAGTTATCTATCTGATATTTATGTACAAACCTGTAGACGCTGTGGAGAAAAATGCACATGTGGCCTTGACTTTTTTACATCCTGTGCCCATTTCTTAGAGACTAAAAGTTTCACTCTCTTTAGAAAAATTGTTTAAAGCCATTTGTTCCAATTAAGAATTAGAATATTAGGTGAGAGTGGGCCATGACTTTGGCATAGGAAAGGAAGCAGAAAGTACACTCAGGAGAATGTTATTTAACTCCATTGAAAAGGAGGAAGTTTGTGACCTGCAAGTGCCTATAATGACTTTCAGGGTTAAGTTTTAATCACCCAGTTTCAAGCACACAGGCAGGACTGTGGGAATTTAATGTCTAATATGTGCATGTAAGTACTTACTTTGCTCAGGCAAATGCAAAAGTAATATTGTGCTAAAACTACTTTTTAAGCTAGTCTCACTTTTTTTTTTCTGAAGCAGTTGAAAAAATAAAGAATTTAGTATTTTGTGATTATTTGTGTCATATTATTTATTTTATTTATCAGCAGGACAAGTAGTTATTTTATGAATATTTATAGTTACTACAAAGCATTAGCACTGCTTCTTTTTAAAATGTTGTGAAAACCTAAATAGAAGTATAACTATATTAGTAGAAAATCCAAGCACTATATTTTTAAATTGTAAAACCTGATTATATGCAATGCAACACAATATCATTTTGATGCCAAGGAAGTTGCTAATTTCCTCCCTCCATTTTGTGTAGGTGTGTGTTTCTTTTTTTACTTGTATCTTTGAGAAGTTTTGGTTGTGAATACATAGCTCCAAACATGTTAAAATTGCTTATCAAATCACAGACCAAAAGTATATTTTCAGAACGTAATTTTAAAATTTAATTAAGCAGTAAACTCATTCATCATAAAGCATTATGCATCGCTTGTTTTAGAATGCTAAACAACTCATATCCTTTGGTTAAAAATTCTTTTTTGGGGACAAGACCTGTTTATCTTGGAACACAGAAGCCCCAGGCAAAACCAGTCACTGTCTTTATGCATTACTTGGAGGAGAATTTTTCCCTCACGGAAGAAAAGGCCAATTCTGTATTAAAACCCTACCAAAGAGCTAACATGCTTTTTGAAGAAATCAGACAGGGCAGTATTGAATGTGAGTGCAAAGAAGAAGTCTGCACTTTTGAAGAAGCCAGAGAAGCTTTTGAAAATAATGAAAAAACTAAGGAGTTTTGGAACACCTACACAAAAGCACACCAAGGAGGGACTAACAGAGGAAGTAACTGGTTTCAGTTTTACCTTACCTTTCCATTAATCTTTGGCCTCTTCATTATCCTCCTTGTCATTTTCCTAATCTGGAGATGCTTCCTAAGAAACAAAACTCGTAGACAGACAGTGACTGAAGGCCACATTCCTTTCCCTCAGCACCTTAATATTATCACTCCTCCTCCACCACAAGATGAAGTGTTCGGTAGCAGTGGACTGTCTCCAGGCTTTCTGGAATATGTAGTTGGGCACTCAGATTCTGTCTCCACTTGCCTGTCCAACTGTGATCCACCACCGACCTATGAGGAAGCCACCGGCCAGGTGAACCTGCAGAGGAGTGAAACAGAACCCCATTTAGATCCACCCTTGGACTATGAAGACATAGCTCCAATGGCAGCCAGTGCCATTGTTATGGTGCCTGTGGTCACTACCATCAAATGAAGCTACAAACGTTTTACTCTAATCATTTTTAAAATACTAATGAAAGAACTTTCTAGCACTTTACCACTACATAAATATACATTGACTTATTTTATTAAACACAGCATACCACTTCACCCCTACGTGTCTAATTTTTTTAAAATTTTGTTTCCTATTATAAAATCATTATACATGCTCATTTTTGGTAGAGGGAATATCTGAAAAGGAAAAACACACCAGTGGGTGTATTCATGTGATGATATATACATCAAGCAACTTCTAAAAATCTATTAACTTCTATCTAAACCACTTTCAAAGAGAACATAACCCACAAAAATTGGGAAAAAAGAGGCACTGACAATTTATGTAACAGCAAGCAACATGTTACAGAATTTTGCCAAGCACATGTACCTAGTGTGTTTTCTAATTCTTATAGGCTTTTGTTTACCTCTGGTTTCTTCATCTACCTTAAAAAGGGAAAAATGTGTGGAGTCACTCTTGATTTTAGGAGTGTCTCAGAAAGAAAGCATATACACACAGTGAGGAATAACTCATTATAGTGTATAGAAAGGAAATCACTGGTCAAGTGTGATCAGTGCCTCACTTTATGCTAGGGCTTTTATTCCCCCCCAAATGAAACACTTTGCTTAGCTTAGCATCTTTGAATGTCTCATGCTCTTTATATTAACATCTCAGTAGGGAAGATTTCTGGCAATAGAATAATTTCTAAGTGGATATATATATATATATTTATTTTTTAATAACAAGCAATAGATATGGATTATTTCTTTGCTTCTGGGGAGAGTAATAATTATTTTCTTCTTCCCATTTTATTGCCTTTTAGTCGCCTATTTACACTGTCTCCTATCACCCAATCTTCAGTCACCCAAGATTTTAGTAAAAATAAAACTTTGAGATTGTTTTCTTGAAGTCTTTGCCTAAAGATTATTAGGAGACAATTTTCTATTACATTACGAGCTGTGATTTTTTTTTTAATCCTCTTCAATTGGTACAAAAATATTGTAAAGAATGTGTTATGTCAAATGGACACTAAATTATAGTCACACATAGATCTCATTATTGTTGCTATTTCATTTTGAATTTTCATCAAACTTCTTAAAACTACAGTAGTTTTACTTTTTCTTTGGAGCAGAGGGAACTGGCCATGAATGAACTGCCAATATAAACTGACTCAGAAAGAAAAAAAGGATCAAATGAGACATTTTGTGTGCAGGCAATTTGTAAAATATTAAGAGCTATTCAAATGTAAGATCCTTGTGTTATTATTGTGCTTTAGAGGGAATTTTCTCCTTGTTGCTCCAAACTTGAGTGGAGCTTTCACATAGTGAAAAATGGAGCAGGCTGCTCCATAAATGGTTAACATTGCTGATCTGTGTGGGTGGACTCTCACTTAATCCTCCAATTCACTAATGTACACTATAGCTGTGGCAATTTAGAGATGATTGCTAACCCAGCAAAAGTGGAGTGAAGAAATGTTGCAAAATAAACTAAAGTGTGTGAGTTGAGACAATAGGTGTCATAGCTTTCATAGACTAAAAAATGGTCATGTCTTGATGATGATCTCAGAAATGACAATTATTTTGAATTATGCCATGCATACATGGTGATCTTCGGTTTCTAATTAACCCTAAAAGTGAGAGTGTTTGATCCAGCAATGATTTATGTATATGTGAAATTTTGGTTTGTTTTTAAATGAAAATTAAGGCTCTTTTTGTGTAGACTTCGGTCGGTAGCAACAGGCTTTACATTCGACCAGCAGTTTTCCAAGTATGGCCCATGGAGCCCTGGAATTCTTGAAAACCTTCCAGAGGATCTGTGAGGCCAAAATATTTTCATCATACTACTAGGACATTATTTGTCTTTTCACTATAATTCTCTCAACAAAGATTTGAAAATGGAAAACAATGTCTCCCCACACATTTTTTTCTGTTTTAGAAAATGTAGCTATTTTTTATAAAAATTTTATTTATGTTGGCATATAATAAATTTTTAAGTGAATTAACACTTAAAATTTTGGTTTATTTTCTAATATGATAAATTTTAGTAGATATAGCTCTCATAAACAAAAGCTCTTGGCATCCAGACCCCCAGTAAATTTTAAAAGTATAAAGGGACTTCTGGAGACAAAAAGTTGGGGGTTTTTTCCCCATTAAGTTTATTGGTACATTTTCAGTATAAAATACAGTTACATTCATCATTGGGATCTTGTACCGTTACATGAGTATCTTGGTTCTTATTTTTTTCCCCTTCCCCTGCCCTCCCTTCACCCCCTCCACCCTTCCCTATCTGCA